TCTTGTTGGGGGTGGTTTTGCTTTTTTTTTTCCCCTACTAGCAATAAAATCCAATTTGTAGTCCTGGTGGTATACCCTCTGTCTGTATAGCACACTGAGATGTCCCCACGGGTATTTCACAGGGCTTAAGCAACCCAAAAGGATGTAAAATGCCACGTTATAATTTGCTGTGTGGATCAGAACAGTATCTGTGCTCTTGCAGTATTGGCACTTTCTGCATGTCCTAGACAAGGTCAGAAGCTCATTACAGCAATCAAATTCAAGCAAATAATCAATTTGTCTACATCAGCTGCATTTTCCCTTAACTTTTCCTTTAGCCCTCCCTCCTCTCAAGCAAAAAATGTTTTAAGCAACTATTTGATGTTAATATTATTCCTTCATGTCTTACCCATGCCTTTTCTATCGACGTATTAAAAATGCAAAATAGTTTGCAACCAACCTCTATCAACTTCTGAAAGTAATCTACAGTGACATTAGCTGAGATGTTATTTTTCAACAGAGATGAATTAGACTGGATGTACACAACCATTCAGATACACAAATCTTCCCTTGATTTTACAGGAAAAAAGCTGTTAAATTATATTTCCGACAAAGTATTGTATTTTGGATGACTACGGAAATAGTAAATTTATTTATTTGTTCAGTTATAAAAGTGTGGCACAATACTGTGCACTTTATACATACAAAGAAACTACAGTTGAGTGAGTGAGTGAGTGAAAGAGAGAGAAGGGAAAGAAAAAAGGAGTGAAAGAAAGAAAGAAAGAAGGGAGGGAAGAAAGAAAGAAAGAAGAGAAAGAAAGAAGGAAAGAAAGAAAGAAGGAAAGAAAGAAAGAAGCAAAGGAAGAAAGAAGCAAAGGAAGAAAGGAAGAAAGTAAGAAAGGAAGGAAGAAAGGAAGAAAGGAAGAAAGAAAGAAAGAAAGGAAGAAAGAAAGGAAGAAAGAAAGGAAGAAAGAAAGAGAAAGAAAAGAAAGAGAAAGAGGAGAGAGAAGAGATGGGAGAGAGAGAGAAAGCAGGAGACTCTAGGGCTCACAATGCTACCTGTCATCCCTGTTCTGTTGATATATCTGTGCCTGCACTAAAGAAACTGGCTGAACTAATGAAGAGTCTTTCTCTAAGAATAAAGACCATATATAACATACATGAACACCACATGCCATTTAAATAACATTAGAGAAATGTTTAAATAACTATTTTCTGCGTTAGTAAGTTGCTTTAATCTTAACTGTTCAAAACCACTGATTTAAAATAAACCATAACCGTACCTTTCATGGAATGAGAAATCCTTTAGAAGTTTTTCAGTCCATTTCTAAACAGCAGTGAAAGCAATGAAATGCACAGCTAGCTGGGATCCAGTTCTGCGAATCTTGATCTTTAAAAGAAATAGGAAAGCTAAGCAAGTCACAACCTTTCAACTGGAGCAGCATTTGCAACTCTCTTTGAATAACTCTGCAACTTTTGCAAACTGAAAAACAGTTCCGTTCAGCATCATCCCAGCAGCTGGCTTCCACGTGACGTCAGTGCACGGAGGATGGTTTTAAAGCCATCTCTTCCAACCCCCAGCTCTGTAACTTTATATCTCCTCATATTTTGTGTAAACAACTCCAAGTCCAGGACATTTTTAGGTTTTATAGTGCAGTCCAGTCTTTAAAGCTTGCCAAAGCAGCCAGTTGTCAATGTTAAAGCTATGACAATAGGCAATTTTAGGTTTCTTTTATTAGCGTCCATGTTGTAAAGGAAGATTCTTTGCTGCCTTCCAGACCCAGTTTTCAGGGTTATATTTTTTAGTATGATCATTTTGAGCTTTGCAACTTGATCCTCATAAACTGCTTTGTAAAAAGGGAGTCTGTTTAAAGCTGCAGTTGTGTTGGTTGACAGTTACCTTAAAGAGCTAAAAGCAAACCACTCCTCCCTAAAATATTTTTCTGTATTGTAAATATGCCTTCACTTATGAAGTGCAGAATTATTGGGGACTGTGCAATCTTACTGTCTCGCATTCTGGGAATAGTGATAATCGCTTCTTTGGGATATACCCAAATATTCCTGCTACTTTATAAGGTTTCTGGATCAGATTCTCCAGTCTGTTAAGATACTTTGTGTCTCAGCAAAGCAAAGCACTTGAAACTGGATGGAGAATCTTCCTTGTGCAGGGAAACTCATCCCTGGCATAAGACTAGCAAGGAAGGTCCAAAACAACCTCAGCCTGGATTTAAAGCACTGGGAGTGCCCATAGCAAGTGTCGGCATGGAGTGAGGGAAGGGAGCATTTGTGACAAAAATGATCCAGTAACTGAAAGTCCACGGGAGAGCCTGAAGCCAGTGTAGCGAAATTTAGCTGCTCCCTCTGCTGAGCTGCAGGCACAAGGAGCTCAGCTTGCTCCTCGCATCTCTGTCCACCGCAGTAACTCTCCTGTTGCACTCTGTGTTAAATTGCTTTCATTTGGCATACTGACCCCCAGGCAGAAGCTTCATGCACATACCACTGTCCTGTTGGGTACTTGTGCTTCAATGTGTCTGTGGATGGTGATTGAGACCACCCATAGTCAGAAAATTCACATTTCAAGGAACATTTGTCCTTACGTGTACCTGGAGAATGGCCACAAAATACTTGATTCATGCAGCATAAAACTCTGGACAAATTTGGCTATCAGATCGGTGTCTTCAAACACACTAAGCAGGAGTAATTTTTGTGGGCAGAGCAGCTGATGACAAGAGGATCAGTGAGACGAAGGACATGATAGGAGGATTCACATATCCATTGCTTAGTCAGCATTCTCCTCTTTAGACCAGTGAGATTTTATCCACGATAAAATCCATGCACAACATAAAGATTTTAGCTCTGGGTGCATTTTATAGTAAATACCAAAGCAGGTTTCAGGAAAAACACATTTTTTGTCCTTATATGGTCTAGCTGTAAGTCTTAGTGAATACATTATTGAGGTGCTTATTCTGCTCCCGTGTAACAAAGAATGGGACTTGAGCTATTTGTGAAAATTTCAAAGATGATCTAAAAATTGAACAAAGATACCCAAGTACACCACTGAATGTTCCTGAAGAAAATCCCCAGCCTCTAAAGTCTGAGGATTTAAAAATTCCCTGTTCATAAAGCAACAGTGTGACTTTCTTTTGGGAGGTTATGTCCCAACACACCAGCTGACACGACTGGGAGCGAAGCCCAAGTGCCTGGGAGCAGAACTGAGCCCACAGCTGGAGGCTGAGTACCACAAGTGCTGCCTCCTCCCTGAAGCCAGCACAGCTGCACCACTGCAAATGAAGATAGACCCTGAAGACATGATTTTTCACTCTTATCCACCAGCATAGGCTATTTGTCTTGTGTCTTTAATATTGGTAACTCAATGCCCCTTGTCTTGTTACACAAACTCTTTAAAGTAAAACACTGTAAAATTAAAGAAAACAACAGACTAAATCCCAGGCTTGAGTTTTCACTCAGGCAAAATCCTACATTTCTGTTAGTGTGAGGAATTAGAAATGTGTGAGACTGAGTGACTCATTAGGAGACAAGAGCTGGACCCCACTTGTAGGTCAAAGGGCCATGTTAAACTCATCCTAATATGGGAAAGGAAGAGAAAAGTTGGGACAAAGAAAACATGAAGCGAGCTCTAAAAACCCGGGCTCATTATTCTGGACCCCCTTAAATGTAGCAGTAGTGACTTTTGCTTTTGAGGAAAAAAAGTTACCCAACAGAGACTGCCCCTCCTCCAACAGCACCAGACAAAGCAGCAAATGTGGCTTTCCGGCCTCTGGCAAAGGCAAAATAAGCAAGAAGGCAATTGTAGGTTTATTACATCTGACACACTACTTCCACAGGCAAAGTACACTTTGTCCATACCTGCTATCCACTCTGCTCGTGGTAAAAGTCAGCACCTCAATAAAAAAGGTGCAAAGGCATTTTAAACAAGCCCTCTGCTAAATTTCTCTTCATCATGCAAGACTGAAGAAGCATGAGTTTCAGCATGGGCTATAATCTGATTATATACTCAGGGTATTTGTATTCCTGTTAACAGTCTGCGCTCCAGATCATTTTAGAGCATCTGCAGTTCTGCTGTAGTAGCTTGGTTATGGCACACCCATTTTGCTATGTACACATAAATTTGATAACAAGAAGGAACAACAGCACTGCTGCCACTGTAATCAACTCAACCACAACATCAGATTCCTGAATGATGTACACCTTGATAATCGTGGCAAATATATCTCAGGAGCGGATACATAAATTGGGAAATGGGCAGAAGGGAATACAAATTCTGTCTCCTCTTACTATTGTGCACTTCTGCAATAGTATATAAATTTAGTTGAGAAATAGAGTCAACAAACTGTTATGTCACGTCACTTCTACAAGGTTACATTGGAAATCAGTGGCAGATACTTTAGATGTTTACTTTAAATAGAGCCACTGTAATTTTCCCCATAGGCAACTGCATGTGTAATGGCAAAAGTTGGGTTTGAATATCACTTCCCCTGGCATTAAATCAGAGACAGAAATGTAAGCCAATGGGAATCACATCCCTGATACTGATGCCTTTAGAAGTCTCCTACTCACCTATCAAATTCTGGGGTGATTAAGGGGAAGGGCATCTAATACCCTAAAGCTCTGCTTGTTTTTGTAAACAACTCCCAAAGTTCATGTGCAGTTCATCTCTTTTTATAACACATTTAGACAGCCATGGTTTTGGCAATTTTCTATTTTCCAACTGCCAGGCATATTTCTGCACTATAGCACCTGCTCTCTTCTAGTTTTGATTCTGAAGCCCTGGTGACATGTGTCAGCAGACACTTATTCTATCTCTAACTGGAGCTTCAGGCATGGGTATTTTTGGTTGAAAGAAATATCTCTGATCCTGGAGAAGATGATCATTCCAGTATTATGGGAATTTTTCAGTAACAGTAAAGAAAATACTTGTAGAGGTATTCTGTCAGGGCATTCAGAGCCAACTCTAAATAGGAAAGAAATTTACTTTAATTTATCTGGTTGCACTAAAGGAACAAATGCACCTATTTTCTAAAATGACACAAAAATTCGTTGGGAGTTACTGTCCATTTACACAAATGTAAAAATGTCAGAATTAGATCTATAGATACAAGATTTCTTCTTTCTGAAAGAACATGGAATGAATTCCCTGGGAACACAGGAAACGGAAGTTTAATCTTTCACAGAAATGTAAAATTAAGGCAATCCCAGGGTTCAAATTCAATTACATTTTTGCCAGAATATTAATATTTTGCCAGAATATTCCAAAATGGGAACTGTGAATCTGCTACTCGTTTAAGTGAGATTTGAACTGATCGGTAACCTGGCATATCCAGCTTGTTTCCACATGAA